CCACATGTTGAGTCTGTGGGATGCTTAGCATCGAAAGTCCAAGCTCCAGTGTATCAACTGGCCATCTACCTATCTGACCATAGCAACAACAACTCTCAGAAAGACCGAGACCTGGACCTGGGACGATTCGATCTTTTGCTTTGTGCTTTCGCATTTCGCATTCCCATTGGAATCGATGCACCTCATTATTATTTTACCATGATCAAAGTCACTCCGTGGGTAGGGAAACAACCCCATTTTCTGACTTTGATAACCCCCAGAAACCGACAACATAACGACCCCAGATCTCTTCGCGCCAGGTGAATTCCACTGAGCTTCCCTAGAATGAATTCGCTCCCCTGTCTTTTTCCATTTTGTTTGAGCTTTTTTTGGGTCTACGTTTCTGTGTTTTCCACTCACCAGGCAAAAAATTAATAATGTTTTTTGCTGGGGTCTCTTTTTTCCAGCCTGGTTAGGGGGGCTTAGAAGCAGGTTATAGCTCAGGTTGAATTCAACAACTTACTAACTTGGCAACGAACACTCCACTACAACAAGATTGACCTTTTGCTTAGGGGCCGAAGACTTACTTGCTTGTCCGAACACTCCACCACAAAAGGTTGAATCTTTCGCCCAGAAATGAAGAGGAACCCAGCCAGGAAAAGTTGATTGGGAAGGTACTTTGCAACTGCTTTTAGTATCACTGGGGCGTGCAACCCGTCCCCTGATTCCCTCAGAGCCGAGGTTGGGGCATTTACAGCTCTACGGATGGGTCCGTCATGGACACCCAGCCCTTCTTCTCGGCACTTGGGGCAGGATTGCGGTTAGATTGTTCCAAAAAGCTTGGTGGCTCCCAGCCATCCCCTTAGTTTTTTGGCCTTTCAGCGTTTAGTGGTAGTTTCCATTCAAGCCACTAAAAGTTAGACTTTTAGCGGGGGATCTGAGGGCAGCCCAGAAAGGAGATGGCCACTATATGTTTTTTTGCCAGTGGTTTGCTTCAATTTTCTATACTTCCCTAGTGTTTGGACGAGCCCTAGTTTGAGCATCAGCTTGTATTTCATTGCTTTCCTTGTTTTCCTGGCGGTTGTTCCCTTGTTTATGTTTGTTTGACAGGTATTGTGCTGCTTTTCCTTGTTTTCCTCGTCCCAGATGATGGGGATTATAATATATCTCACACTCCCTCAGACTATCGTGGAACCTCCCAGAAGGCCTTTGAAAATGGATCCGAGGCTTCCAAAGGGGTCCTGGGAGCTTCCATGCTAGCCTGGGGGAGGGTAATGCTTCATCCAGGGTGACGAGGCTCCATGAACCCACCTCGCACCTCGCTTCCGCAGGTGCTGCGGAAACGGCCGCGGCCGCCACCGCGGCCGCCGTGCCCATGAGACGGGAGCAGGCGATGGAAACGCTGCTGATGCCTGGGCACCGAGATGAGGTCTTTGGACATACTTCTAGGGGTACCTTCCCCATTCTTTCCAGGGATCCTTCTTTCTGGAAAACCTCTGGAAACGCAGGGGAAACGGCGGGAAACGGCTGGTTTTTGAAAAGAATGATGGTTGAAAGAATGGGGAATCAACCAATAGAATATTGCGGATGGACGAAATCCGTTTCGCACCACCTAAGAAACCCTGGAAGGATTTGATTCTTCCTGTAAATACCAACCAACGTTTTGGTTTCAACCATGGTTTCAATTTGGAGGATTTCGTCCATCTGCAGTATGTTGGGTAGTGACCATGGGTAACTTTTCCCATGTGGGACATATCACCATTTGTTGGGTTTCCCCCGATGATGATACTGTGTAAAAGACGCTTTGGTCCACTCCCAAATTTTGGGTAGAAATATGGATGTGGTTCCTTGATTTGAAGGTGCCCCTTTTCATGAGTGTATTTTCTTTTGTTGTCGGGGGAGGGCTGGTTGGTTGGTTGGTTGGTCGGTTGGTTGGTTGGTTGGTTGGTTGGCTGGTTGGTTGGTTGGTTGGTTGGTTGGTTGCTTGGTTGCTTGGTTGTTTGGTTGCTTGGTTGCTTGGTTGCTTGGTTGCTTGGTTGCTTGGTTGCTTGGTTGCTTGGTTGCTTGCTTGCTTGCTTGCTTGCTTGCTTGCTTGCTTGCTTGGTTGCTTGGTTGCTTGGTTGCTTGGTTGCTTGGTTGCTTGCTTGGTTGCTTGGTTGCTTGGTTGCTTGGTTGCTTGGGTGCTTGGTTGCTTGGTTGCTTGGTTGCTTGGTTGCTTGCTTGCTTGCTGGCTTGCTTGCTTGCTTGGTTGCTTGGTTGCTTGGTTGCTTGGTTGCTTGGTTGCTTGCTTGGTTGCTTGGTTGCTTGGTTGCTTGGTTGCTTGGTTGCTTGGTTGCTTGGTTGCTTGGTTGGTTGCTTGGTTGCTTGGTTGCTTTGTTGCTTGGTTGCTTGGTTGCTTGGTTGGTTGCTTAGTTGCTTGGTTGCTTGGTTGGTTGGTTGGTTGGTTGGTTGGCTGCGTGGTTGCTTGGTTGCTTGGTTGCGGGTCGGTTGGCTGTTTGGTGGGTTGGTTGGTCGGTCGGTCGGTCGGTCGGTTGGTAACCGGAAGCCCTGCGCAAGTTTTAAACATAAATCATACCCTACAAAACAAGCCACATCGGCCAATACTTCCACTGCACTGGAGTGAGAGAGGACTTTTCAGCTCACTGGATCGTCAGAGACTTGGGTCTGGTTGCCATTTTAATTAAAAGCTTGGACTTCTCTTGGCCCATCCACTCGATCGGAAGTGGCTTCAAACCCTCAAAAGGTGTTTCCGCTTTTTTGGGGTTGCCGTCCACTCGATCGGACGCAGCTTTCGAGGCCTGGCAGCCACCAGGGAGTTTTCGAGGACGCGAATCGCCCGATGCGCCCGCAGCCGAAATTCGCTCGAACTCCCCCGAGTGCAGGAGGAAGAAACTCTAGTCAAGATGAAGTGAATGTGTTTGCGTGCTTATGTGAGCTTGTTGTTTGTTTACGGTACCTTTTTTGTTGTTGTCCCCCATGTAGAAGGCTGGGTGCATGTGTGTGTGTGTGTGCCTTTTGTGTGGCTACCTGTTTCCACCCCCCCCCCCCCAGGTAAAAGGAGAGCCTGGGTTTGCGTGCTTGTGTGTGTGTTGTTTGGGTTAGGGTATCGTTCTTGCTTTTTTCTCCACGTAGAAGGATAGCCACCAGTGCGCAGGTGTGTTTGTGTGATGTGTTGAGGGTACCATTTTCTTCTGCCTGGTAGAAGGCGAACCACCATTTGCGGCCCCGCTACTTGGACACATACACAAGTAAACTAACATCATAATCCACGCATATCATCCATGAAGCCAACTTATATCCTAGCCATCCTAGCCAACATTTGAACTGCCTCTTCCATTTGCTTAAGAACTAATATGTGTTGGTTTTCCCCTGTTGGTTTTAAAGGCGATTTATCATTGGAAGCATGTTTCTTTCCAGGTCACTGAAGCAAATGGGGGATCCAGGGCTAAACTTTTGCTGTATGGCCCACCTCCAGTCTGCGTGTGGCGGATTGGTCGTTTCTGAAATCGGGCGGTAATATCACTCCCCGAGTTCCCGGACGCAACAGTTTTTTTTTGGGAAGACGATTTTAGTGTTTGGGTGTTCGATTCGTCGAGTCAGTAAGTTGTTAGTACCCTATACAAGTGACAACCCGCTTATAGGACCCCGTTCAGTGGAGTGGACCTTATTACTAGGGGATTACAACCCAGGTGGTTAACCACTTGCTAGTTTAGGCAACGGACATTTAGGTGGCCAGCAGCAAGTTCAGCCTTTCTCTGACCAGTCCACCCAGGAACTGTCCCAAAAGAATGTAGAGTTCAAGTCTCGCTCAAAGTTTAAACTGCTCGTTGATTCTTTCGGGCGAGTCAAACAGTCCAAGCTGGTCAGAAGGAAAGTCTCATCTCTGCTTGTAGTTGTTTCAAGACGCTTGTGCATGCTTGTAGTTTTTTTGTTTGGCTTGTTCTGGTGCGTGCGACGGTGGATGCCAACTCAATATCGCAAGTAAGGGAGCAATGACAAGCTCCAACTGGAGATTGTGGTTTTCCGCATGAGTAGTTTGCTTGAACTTGAAACATCTTTCGTTGGCATTCACCATGGGTTGAATTGAGCGGATAAGGCCTTAGTTAGACGTTCGGCCAAGTTAGTAGGTGGTTTGCCACCCGGGGTTCTGATCCTCTACTACTACTAGTGAACCCCACTAGTTGTGGGGGACCTATAAGCGGGTTATAACTTAGGTCATCACAACTTTCTGACTTGGCGAAGCGAAGAAGGACCCTCGAGGCCCAGCAGTGAAGACCTGCCCAGAGGATTGCGGTTTTGGGCTTGGTTCTTTCGGGAAGTCGCGAAATATGGATTTCATGGTGGGCCAACATGGGTCGAGGTACTTCCTTATCTGGTACTTGGACCCTTTGGGCTATGGACTACTTTGGGGTTCGTTGTCAAGTTAGTAAGTTATTAGCAACCTAAGCTATATCCCGCTTAGAAGTGCCCTGTTCAGGGGAGTTAACCCTGTTAGGGTGACTAACCACTTTCTAACTTTGCATTCGGGATCACCCACTTGAGAGGGTCAGATGGTAAGCCACTTTGGGCATCGCACGTGGACGAATGCCCGTGGCTCACAGCGACGTGCAGCAGCTTGGTGCGTTGCATCTGTCTATTCCATAGAGAGCTCACCTGGGCGTATAAGGAGGTCAACATGACAAAGGTCCTCTACTTGGAGATCCCTTAATTCGGGCTTTGGATTTTGAGTTGGCGAACTCGACAACTTGAGACTTGTTGGGCATCATGTCAGCGAGTTCAGCAGCTGCAGAAGATTGAGTTTATTCACAACCGGTTCGAGTTGTCCGAGTTCGCGACTGGGCTTTTGAATGTCCGGAAAAGGCCCTTGAGCTCTGTAAAAGAACCTCACTTGGTGTTCCATTCCCTTGGATTTCTATCAACAGGCAACCCAAGATCGCCTCTAACGAAGGTCGCTTGAACAATTTCACAGCCGTTCGGTGGTCCTGCCACACCTGACGAATAGAAGTTGCTCAAGTCGCAGTCCTGGAAGCTGAACGGCTCTTTTCCAATGTGCGAGCGCGCGCTGGATGGGCTGCAGAGGCTTCTAGGACCCGCGGAAGAGGTGGCGACTTGTTGGTTTTTGAGTTCTTTGTTCAACATGTTCAACCAACCCCCAGTTTCCCGAGTTTTAGTCGCAGTTATAAGCTACTTAACTGACATTGGTTGAACCATACACCCACCACGTTGCCTGCCATCTCACGAATTGAGCGGTCTGTTGGACGATTTGCCTGAAACCTGGTTGGTTCCGTGTCAAGTGGACACCAGGGTAACCCGTATAGCCTTCGATCCATATTCGGGTAACCCGTTGGTAGGGGCGAGCACCCAAGATGCTCTCTGAGCCATTGAGTCCCCGCCCCGCTTGAAGCTGAGGAAAGTTCCGTTGCGGACCTGGGTCACTTGGCTCTGGACTTGGCGTGAAAAAAAAACAAGTTTACTCACTTCTGGTTGGGCATGCATTCCAGTGAGAAATTTCGTCGCAAAGAGTCACAGAAAGGCTTGAGGAAAGTTCACGATTCACCCACTTGCTGGTTCTCAGGGAATGAGGCCTGGAATGATCCTTATCAATCCCTCCCCTTTGGTTTCCTTTTTTCGGGAATCCCAGATTGCTGTATTCGCGCTACAGCTAGGTAGCGAAAGGTGCGGGAAGCCGCCTTGAACAACGGGTCTTGGGCACACTCCCAAGAAACAATTGACTCAGGATTCACTCTGGGGTACACTTAGGATACATTCCACATTTTACCTGTGACTCAAAGTGAAGCAAACAATAAAATATACATTCTATAACTGGGCCTAGATCTAACAATGTTGGCTCAGGATTAGGATTGACCTTTCCTTTGTCCATATTGGAATACCAGTCAGGAGCTTTTGAATGTGAAAAGGTCGTGATGAATTGTGTGGTAAAGACATTTCGTTAGTGTGTATTGGCCAATCGACTGAAGTTTGAATGTGGGCATCAAATCATATCACAGCATCCAAACACTTCCCCTCGCTTTCCTGGTTTCCTCCAAACAAGACCCAAGCGCTGAAGGTCGTATTTGGGTTCGAGTTCAATGCTGTGGGTGCTCCTTTTTGGGGCTGGCTTAAGGGGAAGCCGAAAGAACAACCACCATGTTCATCTAATTATTTAAATATATATATATATGTATTATATATATTATTGTATCCCCCAAAACTGAAACGACTGGCCGTTGAGTCAATCAGCCTGGCGAAGGACAATGCTTGGGCAAAGAGGAAGAGGATGAGGAGAGGGGGTTCGGTTAAACAGTGTCTGACTCCCTGAGTTCCTGGACTTTGCCCGTTTTGGCAAGACCTTTTGGCAGCAAATACATACAGTTTGGACTTTCTGTCCTTGCTTGTATCCTTGTTGGGCATATTTGTTGAAGGGAAGCTAATTTTGGGGTTCCTCCGATTGCAACACGCAACCCGGCGCTGCACCCGAACTTTCCCAGGAAAGAGCTTCAGTTGTGGCAAGAACTGTTCTTGCAGGCACAAAGGTCCTTGAAGGACATTGCGAAGAGCACATTCAACATGGAGCAAAGACATGCTACATACAGATTCAAAGGTATGCTCCATGAAGTGTGAATAGTCACCCTCCGCATGAAGCTTCCACTGCGGTTTGCAGCATGTCGTGTCAGATATCATTTCACACATGCTCATATCACATAGGTGTATTATCGCCAAACAGAGCTGTGGATATGCTCAAATACAACTAAATGCATGACATATAATATATATATACATAAATATGCATACTATATGTTTGCCTGATCCATATGAGTATATGTGCGCCTTGCAACCCAACTCGCCCTCCATGAAGGGTCCCTACCGGCCGCATCGCGCAGAGTTCCAAGCAAAGGGCTGTCCCAAGTGGAGCCGAGGATAGGCCTTTACCCTGCAGATTAGCGGCAGGAACCCAGAAAACGCCAAGATTCCGTGGTTTTCCTGTCGGTTTCCTTACACCACCAAAAAAGGGGAACCGCTAAAAAGCGCGAATTACCGACATGGCTAGGACTGCCAACCAAATTTCCCCGTTACCGGAACCGCCAAAAAGGGCGAATTACTCATATGGCTTGGCCCCAAATCCCCACCCATTTGTGGAGTCTTCAAACGGAAAGACCCCCTTTGGCTCCTTGCGCTAGTTTGGGGAGCAAGAGGTTAGGTGATAGGTCGGTCCTACCGTTGGGCAACCGGACGGTCTAAAAGGAACGAGTATTGCTTTGCCACTCCCAGCGAGTCCATTTCCCTGGGGGTAACCAAAGGACCATGGATCGAAGGGTTAGCTATAGGGGTACCCTCCTGTCTACTTGATATGGAACCCACTAGCCAGGTTTCAGGCAAAATCCAACAGACCCCTCAATTCGTCGGATGGCGACGTGGAGGGGTTGCCTGCCAGAATCAAAACTCGGGCAAGCAAGAGACAATCCCAGCATACATGAGTGCTGTCACTGGGCTGTCACCTTTCTGATTCGTTACATGGTTTTGTTTTTGGGTGGACAATTTTAGTACCAGGTTCTGATTAATTATGACTCACTGAACCGGAGACGCAGGCGCCCGAAGTCTACAGCGCCAGATATGCATCTGGGCCGCGCAAATTTGGATCCCACGAACCTTGAGGGACCGGGGGTATGCGCCCGAAAGGGCCCCTAAATATTGCAAAGGACATAAGCAAACCGATTCTCCAATGTTTATCATCGGTTTGCGCCTTTTCCTGCTAGTTTACTTAGTTGCTTTCAATATTTAGCGCATGCACCGTACTTTTTGCAGATATGAAGGCCTTATCTTGACTTTTAGTTTGGCCCCTCACGCCAGAATCATCGAATTGAGCCATAGAAATGAGCCATGTGAGAGTCCCTAATGGCTCCCCTTATGGCTCTGAAGGCACAAAAACCAGGGTTGAGTCCCTTGATACCTAAGGATGCACAGAGTGTGCGATGAACCTGGGTCAGTTTGTATATCCTCACAAGGTACCCCTGGGAATCAGGCAGGCCACCATTAAAACAATGGTTGGGCTCATATTTCACTATCGTTCAGGATTGTCATCATCTAAATGGGGTGTCGGGTTTTTCCTTTTTTTTCTTCTTATTTTTTTTTCCCAGGGTCTCCCTTGTTTGTCGTTTTTAAGGGACACCAAAAGGAAAGGGATTCAACACTTCCTACCTGCCCTGCCCCTTCAAGTATCTAAGATGGTTTCTACTACCCCCAAGTCACTACCCCCAAACCGCCACCCCCGAGGGTCGAATGGGATATGCAGCCACTATATAGCCCCTTCAAGTAGGGGAATCGGTTGATTCCCAAAAGTGCGACTCTTTGAGGGTCTCCCTTGTTTGTCGTTTTTGAGCACCAAAAGGAGAGCCGCTTTCTTGGGGATGTTCCAGGGCTTGATTCCCCATTCTTTTCAACCATCCAGCTGTTTTCCCTCGGTTTCTGAAGGTTCTCTAGAAAGAAGGATTCCTGGAAAGAATGGAAATGGAAGGTACCCCTACCTAGACTCTCCATGACCCTTTCAAAATGGTTGGTAACTACCCAAAATTATGAGGTGACCCCTTTTTCTAGGGGTCAGAAGGAGACTCCAGGAAGTTTGGACCTTTTTTGGCCAATCCACTGAGGAAGTGAGACAGCTTGGTTGAAAATGGAACAAACTGGTTTCCTTTTGGCTCAGAAGTCCTCCGTTGAGCGGTACCTTTGGTTTCTGGCCAAGGTAGAGATGTCACATGGGCGTCTGTTTTTTTTGAGAGTCTCCCTTGTTTGTCGTTTTTCAAGGGACACCAAAAGCAAAGCCGCATTTTTTGGGAAGTCCCCTAAAACAAGACCACCTCTCGTGACCCGCTGCACTAGGTGCCCCTCCGGCGAGCGCTGCCGGAGACGCTGCGAAGGGCTTGTCTCCAGGCGTCCCCCACGGTCCATTTGCGCGCGGAGCAGGCGGGAGAACCTGACCTTTGTTGAGTTCCGTTTTTGGACTGAAATGCTAGTTTTTGGGGTTTGGTGGCCAATTTTAGTGGTAAACAAGAAAGTTAGCAAGCCCTCCAACCTCCACCCCACCAACCTAAACTATCAAGCTGGTTCAGCACACTATTTACTTGAAGATGAGAGACATGGAAGTGCCTAAACTCAACCATGGGCTCCGCTGCTTTTTCTGTCACTTTTTTTACAGTGGTTTTGTTTTTTTCTCCGGGACACGCATGTTACCAATGATTGGCACTGGGCACAGCGTCGACAACGAGCAGAATCCGTTTGGCGCTTCTTTTAGCCTAGGATTTAGACTGCTAGACATAGGATACATTTTGCGACGAAGTGAACAACACAAGCATTCATTGTATAACTGGCCCCAACTCTAGTCATGTAGAGCGTTTGCAGGAGGTGGCGGCTTATCAACCCTTCGTCTCTGAGCTGGGTCTAGAGTTGGATTTATGAACCACCTCCCAAACAACAGCATGCCATCTAAGAGGATAACATGGGGGGCTTTCTCAGCAACATACACTGTAGATATTTCCGGGGCTAGAGTTTGTTCTGTAAGACAATGGGGGTGCATATATAACCACCAGTGCTTATGTAGGGATTGTCATCATCGAATTCGACATGTTTTGTAAATGGGGTTGAAATCTAGGGTAGATGGCCCGGGTAGATTGTGAAGCAACCAGGTCAACCAGGGCCACCTACTTTGAACGAAAGCTGTGGGTCAAAACCCTGGGCCTCCCTACGCCCCGGATGCCCTTGTAAAATGCACTGCAACTAGGTCCCGCAGTAGTGCTCTTTTACCGTTTCTTTTTTGGGGGAGGGTTCCCCGACTAAAATAGACTATACAGAAAAAAGTGGGTACCCTTGTTCTAACCTCTCAAATCTGGAGGACCTAGACAAACACTGCCCAGAGTCTCCATGACCCTTCAAAAAAATCGTAAAAATGGGGGTCAAACAAAAGGGGTACCCTTGTTCTAACCTCTCTACTGGAGGACCTAGACAAAAAAGAGGGGGGGGTATCTGGGTTTCGACTGGTAGCAATTCTTGTTGGGGTCCTCCGCTCCAGGCCTTTCGGCGCTCCAAGAGGCGAATTGTACGGGTGAAGGTCGAGTGCAGAAAGGCCTACCTGGAGTCTCCTTCTGACCCTTTCAAAAACGGTTGGTCAATGACCCCAAAATTTTGGGGAATGAACCCAATTTTATTGGGAATGACCCCATTTTTCAAGGATTATGAGGTCATGGCCCCATTTTCTAGAGGTCACGGAGACTCTAGGTACCCTTAGACCACTTGGGGCTATGTGGCAAAAAGGGGGAAACACCCAACGAAGATGACGGTCATACTGTGGGTGGACGAAGTCCGTTCGCACCACGAAATGATGCGATTGGTTGAAACCATTGATAGGTTGGTATTTACAGGGGAATCGAATCATTCCAGGGTTTCTGAATGGTGGTGTAAGATGTCGTCCATCCACAGTGTAGCTAAACATATAATTAGTGGCTTTCCTGGTGGTGTTTCCTTGAACCAAAGTGCAAAAAAATGGTGGGGTCTCCAAAACACACAAGCCCGGATATGGCCACTGAAACGGGCATTGTGCTTAGTAAGTGGTCAGCGAGCGGGTTAGAACCAGGCTTACTAACCACTTACCTGAGGTACCCTGCCCCTTGAAGTATGCAATTGTGTGGCGCCTTGTTCCCTGTTTGGGGTGTTTGATTGAACTTCACCAGCCAGACAGAAAAAGCCACTGCCCGCAGGTCCTGCTTGGGTTTTCGGCAGATGCCGTAGTGCCAACTGTGTCTACTTGGATGTCCGTTGCCCACGTCAGGAAAGCAGATCAAAACCATGGTTATAACTTGGAACTGGGATTGGTCCCCTTACAACCATATGGTTATAATGTGCTAACTTGGTTGAACATGCAAGTACAGGGCCCTGAAAAGCACAAGAGGTGAACGGACAAGCATGGCTTCATGATGACATTGGCGAAGAACTCATAGAGTTCTTCGCCAAAAAAAACGGACTTCAGCAAACACGCGTATCAAAACAGTGCAATGGATATCTGGCATAGGTAACCTTTTTGATTGTTCTGATAGAAAAATCGATGGCCCTGGTTTACCTGGTGGTTTAATCATCTACCAGGGCCATCTATTTGCCCTAAAAGGGGACATGATATTTGGTGTGTGGCTCGTGAGTCATGACCTGTGTGGCCACAGCACCCAAAGACCCCTGGTCTTAGATGACACCTGGTTTCGTGTGTTAGTAAGGCCTACACGTTTTTTTTCTTCTCCTGGTGAGCCCCAACACGGCGGCGTTCCTTTGGTTCCCGTTTTAAAACCACAAAAAAGGATACCCTTAAACAAGTCACACCCATGTACACCTTTGCCATGTTTGTCGAGCCCAGAGGTTAGTTCAAGTCTTCGCAAACAAAAAAACAAAACAATGAAATCACTGCGATGCGGGAAGGGCGACTCCAGGTCCAAGGCCTTCCTTGTCCTGTTTGGGTCAAAAAAAAAAGCTTTCCAACTTGGGCTCGCTTCAAAGTTCCCGGACTTGAAGCACTTTTTGGGTTTGGAGCATTCTAGTGGTACCTGGAGTCTCCTTCTGACCCCTAGAAACAGGGGAGTCATGACCCCAGTTTGGATTTGTTGTTTGGCCCATTAATTCTTTAACGTTCAACCAGCTGTTCAACTGGCGAAGAAGAAGTCGCACGTTTGTCCGAGCCTTTTTCTCAGTGTAGCAGCACCTTCCTCTGAACATGTCTGCCTGAACCAAGTGGATCCCAGTTACCCTGATAGAGCTATTTCCAAATGGTTTTTGAAAGATTGGCAAGCCCTTGATTGCCTATTTGTGAAAAGGTAAATGGATCGAATGGGCTGAATATGAACCGGACAAAACGAAAAGGAAGGTTCGTGGTTAGACCCCCATGATCCACTGGAACAGGTTAAAACACAAAACATAACTTTCCCGGTCTGCTCGATCTATTTTTCGTGCGGATCTGATCGGATCGCCGATGGTTACGCAGGAAGTTCCCGCAGCATTTGCTGCATGCTACTCTGCAGTCTGCAGGCCCCACGCCCATCCGGGCGGATGGGTTGAGAGAAGAATCATGGGTGGCTTCCTGTTCGATTTTTGGTTGTTGTCACAGGAGCGTTCCTAAATTGAGTAAACAAAAAGGGCTTGGTTTGCTTGTCTCCTTTTTTTAGGTGGGAGTTCCCTGTAGCTAAAGTCAGGCAACCAAAATTCAATCGCCCTTTTCTTTTATCGGAGATCAGCAACAGTTTGGTGAACGTTTGTCGAAATTCCCTGGGGCTTTGGGGCTACCGCACGTGGCCTTTGCGGGAGTTCTTGGGAATGGGAACTCAATCGAGGTTCCCTTTGTTTTCCCTTGAAGCATAGCTTGAGACATCAACGTTTAAGGTGTGCTGCTCAACCCATGCCCTTTGCTAATGGGGTAAATGGCACCCTCAGAGGGCAGAACTGCCACCTGGCCAAAGCTGCATCCGGTGTGGATAGGCCAATCATGTAGCATTATGTTAGAACACATTCGGTGTTCTTTGTGTTTTGTTTTTTTTGCAAACACGATTCATGTGTTTCGAACTTGTCCTGCTAAGCACTAAGAACTGACGTTGATCACTCATGATGTTTGCATTAACATTGACATATTGTGCATTTGCATTGTACAAGCCAGTAAGGTATTGAAGCTCTTCATGTGCGCGTGAGCTAGGTGTAGAAGAGGCTTCCCCTTGGCCTAGGGTTCGTCAACCACACCAGACCAGGTGGTTTTTGATGCCTTGGTCGTTTCGGCTTGCGTGTACCGCCTTGCGTCGAAATGGGCGTGGATCACCCTTTTGGATGACTCCCTATGCGGCGGGGCGTTTTTTGTTTTTGTTTTTTGAATGACAAGCGTGCAAGGTAGTCTTAGCGTGGCACTTGGATCCTGTGTGCGGAAGGGATGATGTGAGGCTTACATGTGCATACCGATCTGTGCACAGTTGACCTTGCTCCCCGAGTTCCTGGACTTATACTTGTTGAGTTTGGACCATTTTAGTGGTAGATCAACAAGTTGGCCAATCTACCTGGAGTCTCCCATGACCCTTGAAAAATGGTTGGTCAGTACCCAAAATTTACCCATGTTTAAAGGATCATGGAGACTCCAGGTATTCGGGAAGTGAGTAAAACTTGTGGTAAACAAAAAGTTTGGATTTCTGTTTGCCCATCCACTCGATCGGAAGTGAGTTGCAGATGAGATTCCGGCGCTTCCTGCCCAGGCTTGGGGGAAGCTACGTACTACTTCGAGGCAAGCCAGTGAAAGTGTCCTTGGTAGACATGCGTTTGTCTTTTGCTTGGGACACCCTGTTTTTTGTTGGGTGGTTTTAAGGAGATAAAGGGAAACCAAAAGGAAGCCGACAATTTTCAGGGCTCCCTGAAAACAAGACACACCGAAGTTAGGCTGTCCGGGAAATATGTGTGTGTCTTGGGGCTTCTGAAATTCACGGGCCACTGGGGTTTACATTGCCTCGTAGTTTGACAGCGCTCCTTAAAAGATACATTTTGCGCAATTGAAGCATGGCTTTTTCAACACCCAAAAAAGGGAAACCACCATTTACAAGGCAATGTTCAGGTGTTTCTCATGTAAGCATCCCTGTTGATGCAAAGGATTTGGAAAGCTACTGACTTGAAAGGAATGATTCCTCTTGAGATGTTACATGGCGCTGTCTAGGTGGAAAGGGACCCCAAATCGGCGAAGCCATGGCCGACATTGCGCTTTGAGAAATATGTTAACAAATCCTCAAAAGAACCAAACCTAACACCATACAATTATAACATATATATATATATATGAGGTATATATGAGGTACCTAGGGACTCTCTGTCCTGGGGTTCAAACATTGAAACAATGGTTGGATCATATTTCACCCCTCAGGATTGTCATCCAAATTGGCTCCTCTTGAGTTTTGTTTTGTTTTTGTTTTATTGGGGGGCATTGAACCCTACTTAAAGGGGCAACTGAGTAAGTGGGTAAGAACAATGGTATATATCCCACAAAAGCCGTGGTTGTAAGTCTCCGTTCAGTGGGTTATCCCACCAGGCTTACCCTGCATCAATCGCTTCTTTGAGCGGCTTGAAGAATGGTTGGAAACAACCCTGGCTTCTGGATTCCCTTTGGTCAACCCTCTATGGGGAACCCTAGGGTCTGAAAATGTCTCGACTGTTGCCGGAAGCTTTCCTTTGCTCCAGCCGGCCAATCGACCAGGTGAACTGCGAGGCTGGAGTGTTTTTTTTTCAGCCGACAAGTTGTGCCAGCGAGTGGGGGGGGGGCTGCCAATAGGTAGGTGTGCAGGTGCTGCTGTTAATCCAGGCACTCCTCCATGATTGTTTTTTTGTTGGGGGGGATTACTATTTGTTGTGGTTGTGCTGCTTTTTGTTTTTTGGTTTTTTTTTGGGGGGGCGGGGGGGTGGGGGTAACTAATCAGGTGAGCATTAGTCAATTTGGTTTTTGTTATCTATTTTCTTGTCGGGGGTTACTAATCCCAGGTGGACATTAGTCAAGGTTCCAAAAAAATGACCAGTTGTTCTTTGCTGCCACGTCCTCTGGGCAAGCCATGCCATCCCCAACGGCTCTGGATTTGGGGGAGGAGCAAAAGACCCCTGGAGCTGTCCTGTTCCATGAGCCATGTTGCCATTTGCAGGGAATACATTGGTCGAATTGGTCTTAAGATAGGGGGGAAAATCGTGTCTTTTGGTTCACATAGTGATTCTTCCGTTCTTTTACACGGTGTGAGTCACGCAGACTGCAGGTATTGACATCTGTTAGGAACTTTGCAGTGCCCTCAAGAAGGGAACCAACAGACTCAACTGCCTTTCGGTGTCCTTCTGGTTTCCCTTGAAGCCTGGTTGAAAGGAGGTACCCTCCAACAAACACTTTTTCTGGATTGTTTGAAAGGACTACCAAAAGGCGACCACTCATGTTAGCGGGTTCGATTCGTATGTTGAGACCGACTCACTTGGATGTTCAAGCAACGTCAAATAAGTAGGCTGTAAGCATTCTTACAAGGGGATCAACCCCAGTTGTCCTAGTGATAACTACGGTTATAACTCAAACCATCAAAACTGGAATTAATCCGTAATTCTTGGGCAATAACCCAGGTTTCAGGGAATTTTGAGGGTCCAGCTTTTGTCTCTCCCAAAATGACGTGTGAGCAAGTGGTACAAAGGCAGCTAAAAAACAAGCCGATCTTCCAGGTACCCAGGTGCCTTGGTTCGCTCGACTCGGCCTGGGCTTAAACGACCAGCCTCGTTCCAATGAGACTTCCGACCAGCCTGCAGCGGCTGAGGAGACAGATGCCAGGCTCCCAACATAGCACCTCACACTCCTTGTAACAGGCGCCTTCGGTTTGTTGCAGGAACGAAGTAGAGACATCCAACAGTCGCCTTCCGGCTTCCCAAATTGTGCTCAGTCGGTGGTCCAGAAGTCTTTCGTGCATTGGCGCCTGGGCAGCCTCTTGGAAGGACCTCCAGGCGTTTTTTTTTTTTTTAATCTTCGGTGTTGGTCGCGGTTTCGGGTGGGAGGGGAGGGAGGGAGGGGAGGGAGGGGAGGGAAGGGGGTGGGGATGAAACCGCTGGATTGGGGGTTCTGGCAAGAACCTGGGCTCTCCAACCAGGGTTGTGGTTCTGAACTCAAAAGATGGGGGTTACCTGAACCCTCAAAGTACCGGCTCCTCAAATTACGCCCTTGGGTAAAATGTGTTTTGCTCCAAGATTCAAGGGGTAGTTTGAGGCTTAAAAAACCCACGGGAACCCACGCTTGATCAGTCTTTGTTCCAGGCTGGGGGGGATTTGTTGGGCTTTGCTTTTATAAGCTGAAGGGAAGCTGGGCAAAGAATGTTGCAGTCCTTACATTCAGGAGTGCCTGGAGTGTCCTTCCGGCTGCTTATTGCTGCTCCAATGTAGCTGCAACTGACCAGTCCTCAGAGCGTTGGAGTGTCCTTTTGTTGTTCGGGTGTACAGGTTGGGTTAAAGAGAAACCAAGGGGACACCAGGCTCCTCTATGGGGGTTCCCCTGCAACATGTCCTTTTGAGGCAATTTGCACAAAGCCGGCGGTTTTAACATCGCCTTGCGTTCACCAACTTGTGATTGGGGAAGGTTTGGGTTGTTGTTTGTTCTATCTAGTCAGCAAGTCAGTTCGTTTGAGGAGATTTGGTCGCGGATCACCCTGCAGAACAACTGGATCCCCCGCCCCCCCTCCCGCTCTTTCCTTATTTCCTCCCTTCCCCCGAAACCGAATTGCTCAAGTGGAATCCCCAACAACTGTGAACCCGCAACCCGAGCCGATTCGGGTTCCTCGGGTCAACCCGAAAACGCCCTCGATCCAAACAATGCCCTGGAGGCCACTGTCATGGAGGTTGTGTCGCTGCGCTCATGGATGATGCGCTGCCTGGGCGGATATATCAAGATCCGCTGGTGTGTTTTGGGGCTGCCCATTGGGCCGTGTTTTAAAGTAAACCAAAGAGGAACACCATTTTGCCATGTTGGGTCGGGCGCCAGACCTAGCTGACCTTTTGAACACCTTTTGCCTTTTTGGGTGTCTTCTTAAGATTGGACCCCCCACAGATTGTGTTTTTGCTTTTTAGTTCCATCTAAAACCGAAAATTGGAAGCCCTCAAGAAAAGACAGACCCTTTTGTGTATTTTAGTTTTTTGTTTTAGCGAGACGTGTTTTATATTTTTGCATGGGGGTCGGATGCGTTTGGTCAAGCTATAGCGACTATCTGTCACTGCCAATCAAAGGGGACAAGGACCATTCATGACCGTTCCCATGGCTCCCCTTTCTATTGCTTTGAATCAATATTGGACTGATTTGATCTCTTTCGAGATGGCTTTGCATTTGGTTGATGCTGCCATATGGCACGTGAACCAACTATACTCAGCCACCAACACATCGCAGGTCACGGTGAGTTGGAGACTTGTCTTGTTCCCTTACTTGCAGTATTGACCTGGCATTCACTGTATCTGTGGTCCAGAGTCAACTTGGTGTGCTTCAAATTCAAGAACTCGGGTCGCGCAGGTTTTAGTCTTTGGTTCCAATTACCAAGGTGCCATGTTGGTACATTTCTTCCAACCACCTCCAAATGGTACTTTGGAATGGGGGCAAAAGCTGAGGTAGCTATATATATATATAGTTTCAGCTTCTCAAATTCTCTGACTTTTTGAGATGACATGGGTTGACTAAATACATATCGTATCCAGAGTTTGAACCAACAGGGAAGCAACGGCTGTCACATGGTTTGATTGCTATCTGGTTGGATCGTTGGACTTTAACTTTTCGGGAAATCAAGAGTTTGCGGAATTGAACCCACACACAGCTAAGCTTCCAGCAACCAAGTTTTTGAACCAGGGCTGTGGAAAATAACCACTTCTGCGATACAACAGGAAGGGCTTCCCGACGACTAACCTCCATTTTGTGAGGGGACGATGCCCTTGTAATGTATCACAGAAGTGGTTGGATAGACCCCGAGTGATCCCACAACCCGCTTTGGAATCCTTTGACAGCTTGTGTAGCTTATGTTTTTTGATCTCGTTCTTGGCTTCGAGGAAGCTCGGAGCCTCCGTTTGACACATGGTTCCATTTTGCGAAAACGGGCCCTTTCAGCCTTCGCACCCAGCGAACAGCCTAAAGCGGTGGCAGACCGAGAAAGGAGCTTTCTTGAAGCCAGTGTATGCCCAAGGATTCTCAAGAATGGTTGGCTCATGTTCAAGTTCTTTCAAGAAAGTCCTGTTGCAATGTAAACAAGAGTTGGGCCACACTCGAAATGATTGTGGACATCCTCATGTAGGTTGAACTCATTCCCATATTGTATCAATGATCGGAGGGTACGTTGGATGGTCAGCAACCTCCATTCCAAGTTGGATGGTCAGCAACCTCCATTCCAAGGTGGCAATTTAGGCGTACCCAATGTCAATCCCTTTGCTGCAATAGACGTGAAAAAAAAGCGACCATTGAACTAATGTGGCGATGGGTGAAGAGAGTAGGGAATTTAATATAGGGGGCTAAACACTTTTTACTAGTCTCACTTTGACGAAATGTGGTTTCAAAGTACGCCACTTGGAAGTTCAACCAACTTAGTAACCAGGTCAGAACCATGGTTAAAAGTGGACTAACCTTAACCCGACCCAGTGCTTCCAGTTGCCTCCATGTGCGGAACCAGCTTGGTCACCGGCCAGGTAACTGACCGCCGGCTCCAGGAACCACAAAAAAAAGGGCCGAAACCGTGAAATTGGGGCCCTGAACCGTGAAAAAGAGGCCCGGAACCGTGAAAAACAGGCCGGAACCGTTAAAACCGTTAGACAGGAATTTGGTTCCCACTTTTTTGGGAACCAAGTCTGGTTCCCAAAAAAACAGTCGCCAATGGCCAGTTACTAGCTATACAGGTTACTAGAGTCGCTGGGCGAGTTACAACCACGCTCATGACCGACTTACCCGACATTGGCTGAACATCCAAGTACACCCAGTGCTTCCAGTTACCTCCAAGTGCGGAACCAGCTTGGTTACCGGCCATATTGGTAACTGACCGCTGGTTCCAGGAACCACAAAAAAACCGTGAAAAAGAGGCCCGGAACCGTGAAAAAGAGGCCCGGAACCGTTAAAACAGGAATTTGGTTCCCACTTTTTTGGGAACCAAGTCTGGTTCCCAACAAAACAGTCGCCAACGGCCAGTTACTATTCAGGTTACAGGACTCGCTGGGACAGATGTTGGCTCTTAAGCCCTCGAGAGCGAATCCGGCCGCTTCGAGGTTCGGCTCCTTTACCAACACCTACCTCCGGAGCTCCGGAAGCAGCGGGGAGGCGGTGACCGCGCCGCTCGGCCAAATTTTGGCGAACAAGAAAGCGGAGTTGGGCGGAATTGGCCAGGAAGTTTAAGAAGGAACCACCTCCAAAGCCTCCATTTGCTTAAGAATATTATTTTTATTTCCCCTTGTTGGTCTTAAAAGGAATTTATCACTACTGGACTATATTTTTTCGTTTTTCCTGGGGCCTTAACTAAATGGAAGAAAGTGGTGGACATAAATCCCCATGTCAATGGTGTCAGGGTCTCTTAATCAGAAATTCACACCCATTTGTCTTCTGCAGTCGTTATTTTATGACAGTTTCAGTGAGAAACTGGGGTGGTTGAACGCTTCACTTTAGGGGCGACTAGGGCAAGCAACAAATGATCATTAAATGAGGCCAGTCATTTTTTTGGGGAGCCCCTAGAATGCCAAGATGTTTTTCCATTTGGCCTCCCTTAAAAGAATAAGCAAACGCCACAAGACAGGGGTACCAACTAGAACAAGACAGACCCATTTCAATGCTCCCATTCTGCGTTTGCCTTTAACATCAGTCGGGACAAGTGAACGTGAGTTTCTTTGGATGCCGCTGCTGAGAAAAAGACACATCCGGGAGCCCTGGATTTAAAACGCAGGTTCATGGGCACGTAGACCCTCAGGCGAACCGCTTACTTTCTTGGCAAGCAACCCTATGTTCGACCAACCCCTTTTACACCCATGTTGTTTGAAAATCGAAGGGACCTTGTTCCTTGCCGACTGCGTGCCTTGGTGCTATTATTGTATCCTTTTTGTCATGGTTGCAAGTCCCCGCTCAGCGGGTTACCAATCGGCCACTTCCGTTCAGTGGCCACCCGCGAGCGGAGGTACTTGAAGGTGGACTACAAGGCCTCGTTTGCGTGTTTCTTCCGTTCTTTCTTTTTGGGGAGTGCGTGTTTCTTTTGTTCTTTCTTTTTTTGGGAGTGCGTGTTTCTGTCATTCTTTCTTTTGGGGGGGGAGGGCCAAAGGACCATGGGTTCTGCCGAAACGACCTAGAACAAAAGCGGGAAGGCAGAGAAACGGGGGTCGACAAGGCGGCGGTCCAGGTGCATATGTGTGTGTGTGTGTGTCATGTTCGAATGGAGTAATTCGCCGAAGATTCGTGAGCTAGAACTCGCTGGCCATGGTTATGACACATACCCCGTGGGGAAATCGCCAATGCCCGCGGGTATCGAGTGATTTGTTGAGAAGTCTGGCAGAGTCGCAGGCAGACGTGGCTGGACTTTCACGGGGCGAGAGCTCGTGCATTTGGCAGGCGCCGACGCCCCTGCCCTCCGATGTTGTGTGGATCCCAAGATGGTTGTGAAAAATGGGGCGGGGGGGGGGGGGTGGGTGGGAGGGGCAGGGTTACTTGGATGTTCAACCAACGCTTGAGTAGGTTACTCTGGTCATAACCACGGTTATAACCTACTTGTCATTAAGTTGGTTAAACATTCAAGTAGGGCTGCTCTCTGTGAGTGGCCAGGGGAATTTTCTTGCAAGTGACAAACTAGTCACAGAAATTGGAATCCCACTTTGGTATCACAGTTTCGCGTCATTCTTGCGGGCCCCCGCCTTTCCACAAACTCTAGACTCTACCCCTCCCTACCCCTCCCTACCGGAGGGCCTTCTACCTACACCGAAATGTGTTCTAGGCGGAGCCCTCGTTTTAGGCAGAACATGGCAGAGTGATTCCGAGCAAATCCCCCAATGGTTGCTGGACTCATGGAGGAGGTCCCGTTTTTCCCCACTTGGGACTTCGGCCAAGTTAGAAAGTGGTTAGCCACCGCAATAACCCGCTGATGCCAAGGTTAACTCTACTTGGAGGGCGGTATGAGCGGGGTTTGTATGTAAATCCCTTTCCCTGAAAGGGGAGGCACAAAGAGGAGACTGGCACCCCCTGCTGCTGTTCTTTTGATGAAGATACCTGGCGATCGGTGCGATAGGCAGGGAATGAGAACTGGAATGACCCTTAGAGGAAACCACCATTTGGATGGTTTCTAAGGGTCATTCCCTCATTCCCTGCCTATCGCAGCAGCAAGGTTGGGTTCGTAGATCCATTTTTTCTCGCGCTGGGAACATGGCAAGCGTAACGTGCTGAGGTTTGCGTGGCCGCAAGCTCAGCGAATGAGGGTTGCGAAGTCCAGAGGATGTCTTGCCTTCTCGGGAAACTACCTGGAGTCTCCATGGATGACCCTCTAAACATGGATCAATGACCAACCATTATTTTGAGTAAGGACCAACCATTTTTTAAGGGTCATGGAGACTCCAGGTAGCTTGTCTCGCCTTCCTGGACCCCCAAAGGACCGTTTTTTTTTTTCACCCATAAAAAAGGGGTACAAAGGCAGAAACGAGGAGTCTTTTTTTGGGGGGTCCAAGTTCTCAGGAAGTAGCTTCCTGGACCCTCAAAATTCCTTTAAAACCTGGGTCACTGCACCAAAATGATGGTGAAGTCCCTTTTCTAAGGGTAGTTTGAGGGTCCAGGTGGACCCATTCTGACTCCCTAAGTACATGCGGCAAGGCCTTGGAATGTTTGTTCACTAGGGGGTCAGAGGCCCTCATGAATTCTTGGGCTAGGGGTTAAATTTGCACTGGGGGTCTAAGATGTACAAAGGGACCACGGTTGAGGGTTGCGAGTTGGCCATCGTATTTTTTTCGGTGCAGGGAGATTCCCTCCTGTTGAAATCAAAAGCGGTGTGGAATCTCACGTTGGCAATGAAGCAAGGGAGCTGCTTTCCGCAAGCATGCTACTGTGAATGGGCAAAATCCACTTCGCGCACCGGTTGAACCGGATGGATGAAAGCCCATTAAAACTGGCTGAGAGCACACCTAGCTGGTGCATTTTGTGGGACTCCATCCACAGGAGGGAGGGTTGGAATATAGGTGGATGCCACTGGTTTTACAGTGCAAGGGAAGGCTTGGCCCACAGGTGAGTTTCCTTGGGGCTGATGGATTTAGGTTGAATTTATTTAGGAAACCCTGTTGAACACACGCCCACTTGGATGTTCGGCCAAGTTAGGAAGCGATTTTGCCAGGTGGGCTATAACCCGCCAATAACAAGGTCAGCTCTGAACGGGGGACTTTGTTACTCGGGTTGTGACTTAGGCACCTAGTAGCTTACTTAGCTTGGCTGAACGCCCAAGCGATCCCTCTGATTTCTTCCTTGGGTTTGCCTTCTAGCCACAAGGGATCTCCCCCGTATCTCCCAATTGGTCTAGCTTGCTCCCAGCCAGCTTCTTATCTCCTTAGTGTTTGGTGGTAGTTTCCGAATTTCACCCACCAAGAGACACGTTTGGCGGATCAGAAAAACGGGCAGCCCAGTTATCGGCGTCCTTCCCCGTCTCTGCCGTCACGTTCCTGGCCTTCCGTCGTCTTGCCCAGGTGGAGCTGGAACGCTCCGAGGGCCGCAAGATCTTCCTCTCAGGCGCCGTATCTGCAATTCGATGAGCTTCTTCATGCGGGGGGGTCGGGGGGGTAACACCAACTGAGTAAGTAGGGAAAGGGTGCCTTGATCATTTAATAGGACGGAGTTTGGGGCCATTTTTGCGGAAATGAATCCTTTGGATGTTCAGCCAACGTCGGGTAAGTAGGCTGTAAACATGGCTATAAGTAGGGTAACTGGGGTTGGTTGCAACCGTGGAGGAAAGAAGCCCAAAGAGTTATATACCTATGTTTGATAGGTGTCCGGAGTCCGGATCGCTTTCGGAAGCACCGCCACAAAACACAGTTCCAGACTGGTGACCTGGTGACTGGGGTCTTTGGATTCATTTTCAATTGACAGGGACTTGGTGGGTTTCATTTTGGCAAGGAGGCGGGGTACTTTCTGTACGGAGAGCCAGTTGAATTAAGCGATATTTCCGTTGAGGGCGTTGATTTGGTCCTGGAGTTTCACAGAGCAACATTGATGTGTCTTGTTCGAGGGTACCCTTTGCTGTGGTTTTAACGGAAACCCAAAACGAAGCCCACCAATTCGGTTGATCAGGTTGTGAGTTCTTTCTGCACTGGTCAGCTCGTCTTGGTGCAACGAGGTCTCCTGTCAGGACCCCAACCCCTTCCCGGGCTCCTGTTGCACTGGATATTTTAACCGAACCTCAGCAGCAGCCCGGTTGGGATTGCACGTGAGGTTTGGTGAAATCTCTTTTTCGTCGGGAAGCGCACGGGTTCAATCAATAATCACCTGTCAAGGCCTAGAGGTCTGGGCGTATCCAGCACTGGACCTTGTTGGTGCCCCTACCCCAGGGGTCCATAGGACGCGTTTGGGCGAAGCGTTTTCAGCGACGTTGGTGGACACCAGGCCTTTGGGCCTTTAGAGCTCCCTTAGTGCCTTAGCTAAGCGGGTACCACGTGGGTGTGTCTTATAGGACTGGGACGCCTAAAAAATCCTTGGTTTTCATTGAAGTCTCTTTTTATAACCACGCCAACAAGTTGGCAACTAAAACCCAGAAACAACCAACGACACCTTTCAAATTATTAGGCTAAGGTAATTCCCAAATGACCGGGTTTTGCTCAACCGCCCCAAAAAGGAGAAAACGCGATCGGCCGGAGGCTATATGCTGGTGGACAAAGGCAGCTTCCAGAAGAGCTGCGAAGCCACAGCCCTCTTCGTGGAGCTCAAGGCGCAGAATTCTCACGGAAGCAAGCGAGCGTCGCAGAAAAAAGGCCTCGGGCCTGAGGATATCAGCTGAGAACGACGGAACGACGGGGACGGCCGTTGTCTTTGTTCCAAGTCTGGACTCGCTTTGTTTTTGTTTGTGGGGGGGGGGGGGTCCGTTTTTTTTTTTTTTTGTGTGTGTGTGTGTGTGTTTTTATGTTGTTGTTTTTTTTTGTGTGTATGTGTGTGTGTGTGTGTGTGCGGAGTGGCAGAATACCCTGCCACCAAAACTTTTTCCGTTGCAGCAGGGGGCAGGAGCACCATGGCAAGTCTCCTGCCAACGAAGACACTTGCCATCGGTGGTGATACTGGGACTGATCATCCCAGCGTACCTGCATGTGTAAAGTGATGTTGCTGTCCTTTTGGCCCCCTTGGTTGCGGCGCTGTTTGTGCTTCTTGTTCTTTCGGGTAACGTTTTCGCCTCTAGAGAGAAGCCGAGGGACTTGCAAGCAGAACTCAGCCGAGACTCATCAGTTGTACTCGAGACTCAGCAGTTGTACTCGAAAGATTAGCACTCTCCATCTGGAGTTCAAGTGTGTACACCCCATTCGTGGGGAATCCTCGGGTGTACCCATTGTGTGACCCCGGGCCGGCTCTGTCGGAAAATTTGACCTCAACGTGCTTATCATAGAACAGCGGAATTTCACATTTAACCAGGAACGAGGTTTCACTAAAGGGAAGAAAGCCGTCAGATCATAGCGACGTCTCACTCGGTCTACCGCTGGCTGCTGGCTTGAACTTGCATGGACTTGCATTTATCGGACTTGTTCCTCTCAAGAGTGTTGAGTTGCGGTTTTGCATTTGTTGTGCCATCATGTCTCGACGTGAAGATCGAGATAGATCTAGGACTCGGCGCAGACGTGATCGGAGTCCTTCCCCTCAAGCTCGCAAAGCACGCCGACGTGAACACAATGACAGCCAGGTCTCGGAGAACATGGATTGGAACAACCTGGTTTCATGGCAACACAATTCCGGCTACAACGCTGCCAACAACTTTCCGATGATACCTACCAACTTTCAATCGACTCACAATCCCACACAGCAATTCCAACACCCAGCGATCAACTACATGATGCCGATCCCTCCAGACCCCACGCCAACCAAGTTCATGCCACCCGTGATGCCACCACCGGTCACTACTTCCCAACCTACACCGCCACCTGGACCTCCTGCGGCTCTACCGGTTCGTCCTCAGAAAGCCTGGCTTACACCCTCGCCTGACTGGACACCTGGAGATGGCATGTTTGATGTCAATCAGCTCTACAACTTCAGCCTGCCCATGACTGTTGCCAACACTCCGCATGGCAACCTTCGCGACATGTCAGGCATGGATATTAGGGACGTACGCCTGGTTCAGGTTATCCACGGGGGCCTCACCAACTGGCTACTCAGGCCGTTTGCTCACGGCAGATTCGTGACGTGGGAAGGCTTTCGCACTCGCACCGAGGCCTTACTTTGGAGTACCTGTTCCAAACTACTACGAAGATCACAGTCACTCAACCTGCTCACCCTGGAAAAGGACCTTGCCAACACGCTGGGTCTCAACATCGATGACTTCAATCAGCGCATCAAGGTCCACGACCATTTGGCCAGCTTGGTACTTCAATTTCTTCAGCAACATCACACCTCTCTCGCACCTGCCACCCAGACAGATGACATGGTCAAAAAGTACAATGATCTAAATCGTGCGCACGAACTTCTCCAAGCTCAGTATTCCGCATCGCTTCGCGCTTCGACCTCTCCCACGATGACAAACCAGAAGGATGATGCAGAGTTGGTTACACCGCCACCGGTCAACCACACACCATCCTCGTCACCTGCCAGCTCCCTTCCTACAGCCAGCGCAGCGGCCCTGGATGGCAAGTCGTTTGATAGCGCGGTGCAACCTCGGATCATTCAGTCTCTTCACGGAGTGTCGTCACCGCCGTCCAAACCGGCGGCGTCACAATTGCTCACCATGCACAGCACGCCGGATGAAGTTGTCAAGTACTACACATGGACCAGTGACCAACCTCGCCTTTATCTCAAGCAATCACCCACAACCACCACTTTGGCATCGCTGGTTAAGTGGGCCAATCACCCGTCCCGGCTCAACGGCAACAAGTCATTAGATTCTATGGCGACGCAGCTCCTTCAGGCGCGGCAACGCATGCCGAAAGGCGACGCACCCACTCTCGGGGCGATGGCGGCTTCGTGGGGACTAGAGCCCGGCTATCTTACCAAACTCACTGAGAAGGCATTGAGTCACCTCATCGTGACCGCTCGCCTACTCTGTGGATGAGAAGGCATCATAATGACCTTCGTTCTCTTATGAGCCCGGAGCGGCAACAATGTCACGGATGAGTCCAGGTGAATTCTCGTCCGTCAATTTTCGGCGTTGCACCAGTTTGATCTTGTACTTGCTCGTTCTTGCATTGCCTTTTGTGTGATTGTCTGTGATGCTTGTATTCATGTCGCCGCCTTGTGGTAGATTTCATTGGTTGTATCTCACCATGTTGGATGAGCTTCGCCGCTGCGGAATCTATGATGATGTTGCGCAATGGCAGTCGCTGGACGACCTTCTACACTCGTTGACCATGTTCTCTACGTGCTGGCAGTACTGTTTTCCTGGACTACCACCACCGTCGATTCCAACTGAGGAGTACGAATCAATCACACAATTACCGTGGCTGGGTCTCATCCTCGAAGTCTTAGTTGTGGTCCGGATAGCCCTTCAGATTCCGAATCACGCTATGTCACACTCTCAGCACACCGTGGTCAACAGGTATGAGCTTCACAGATGTCGGTGCACTGCCTATTTATTGATTAGTTTCTTACAACGTCTCATTCACAAGATCACGGCTACTTCCCGCCGTTCTTTGAAGTCCTTCACTTCTACAAGACTTCTCTCTTGTGTGAAATCATGCACTCTACTTTTGCTGACACGCGACATCTACGCTCATTGCGGGCGCGATTTCCTGACCTCTATGACTTCATACACGATCCAGGTCATCATCAACAACCGTGCGTCTACATTCGACTTTCCCCATGGCACACACCCTACTATGTTGGGGCGACTGATCAGGATGTTCTACGTCGTGAACACTCACGCAGTCGCAAATTTCTACAACTACTTCGTGGACGGCATGCCTTCTTCGAACCAGCGCTTCACTACTGGAAGAGATCCAATACTTACTGGCTCTTCTGTGCTGTTCCGGTGGAAATCAAACTTCCTGTTTCCTCGGTTTGGGTTCAAGAAAGTAAATGGCAATACTTGCTACGCCCGCATTTGAATGCGCCCTGGGTACACAGAATCTTGCGCAAGGTGGGCTTCCGGGAACATCTCGTGGATTTTCGACGTCACTCGTTGTCGTCTCCCACTTCCCTCAGCTTGCACAAGCGCTTTCGACGACGACTACATCCGGATCTCCAACGGCAACTACGACCTGACATCCTGGATGACATTCAGGCCCATTACTCTATTCTCTATCAGCTGGGATCGAATACAGGAGCATCGTTCCAAGTCATGCGTGACCTACTGTCGGCGGCTTTCCCTCCCACTCAGCTGTACTACTTATTGCGGCTCGCAGTCTTTGTCAACGAGCCCTTCCGCTCCAAGGCGCAGAAACTCCTCGCCCAGGTGTTGCGCAAACGACGGCTACAACCACCCACCACTTTGACACAGCTACTCTTACCGCCGCTGCATGTCCGGAATTGGAAAGCTCTACTTGGCACATGGCTACAAAGCTGGATTGCTTCTCATCGGGATCTGTTCCCTTCTCTTTTCATTCCAAAGATCCGGGTGGTGGAAACTCGCAGCGCCACATTGGGCGACAAGATATACAACTACCGCACATGGCAGCGCAGATGGACTCCTGAAACATCCTTTCCGTGTCGCTGTTTGGACATCGATGATCACCATATACACCGAGCACATGGTCACGCTGTAATGGTGGATGAGTTTTCTCGCATCAATGCGGACATTGACACTGAAATCATGGCCGCCTCAATGAAGGATCAGTATTTCGGTGATGTCGACTTATTACATCAACGTTTCACCACGCAACTTCGCAAACTTGCTCGTCGTTGGCATGTACATGGTTCCAGTCTCCTTTCAGATCTGCAGCCGGTTTTGACTCAGTTAATGGACACTCATCGAACTAACCTCCAAGATCGGGCTTATTGGTCATCGACATCGTTGCAGCGCACTGTGGCTTCTTTGTCTTCGTGGGTTGTTATCCCAGCGGATCATTTTCCCTCCCGCGCACATGTGATTTGTCCGTCCCTGTTTGCCATACTGATGCGGAAGACATTCTGCTCGGGGGATGTCTTCTCGCTTTGCCGTGAATCCGCAGCATCCTTTCGCTCTGAAGTGGTAACCACGGTACCTTCTCTCCTACGTCAACGATATGCATGGGGACTTCGACTTCAAGCACCGTTGCCCACAGCGCGCATCCTCCCAAAGCCGACCAAGGACTGGCAGAAAGCTCGACCCATCATTTCATTCTTTCGCACATGGGCAGCTCCCTTCCTCACGGTCTTCGGCGCACTCATATTTGAACTTACCAAAGCTGCCTTTCCCGACATTGCAGGTCAACTTCCAGTACAAGAACTTGTCCAGCAGCTGTGGGAAGCGCTGTCAAAAGCAGATCCTGATGAGTACATCCACCTGGTGTCGCAAGACCTGTCAGGCTTCTTCACGTCCATTCCTACGGAACGATTCCACCAGGCGCTGCAAGTGCTTCTCCATCGATACGATCAAGTTGTTGGCCTTCGCAGTTCCTCTCAATGGTCAGTGTACGAAGTAAAGTCAGATCATCGACGCCGTATGTTCAAAGGAAAGTGGCGCCGTCAAACCAAGATCCCTCGAATTTTTCGTGAACAAGATCTCCGGCACCTTCTGGACTTTGTCATTGACAACAGTCACTTCGAGATCAACGGATACTTGTTCCGCCAAGAACGAGGAGTCGCTATGGGATCACCAGC